CAGCTTGAAAGCCGATTCCGACCGTGCCATAGGGCCGCTTGCTGCACTGTCCTGCCATGAAGCCTTTAATCATAAAACCCCATGGAGTCTCACTAAGTGATGCCAAATCAGTCTGAGAAGACTGACGACATTTTAACCCCCATAGTACCCCCTATCATGAAGAGCTTTGACCATCCATATCTCTCTCAGTGCCCCTACGGGCTGTCTACCTCATGCTCAGAAAGCGAATGAGTCACGTGAACAAGAATCCATGTCTGGGAGCTGGGGGCTTGAAATGTATGGTCTGCCACCGAGTCTACCGTGTCCACCTTTCCGCCGGGAAGGGGCCGCGGCCTAGAGTCGAAGCACACCGACGCGTCGAACCCCGAACTCGGTGGAGTCGAGTTCGCTGGTTCGACCGGATCTCTTTTGAACGCGACGCATGCACGGCACGTGCCCCCATTTTGTGCCGTTCTTGGGCTTCCTCAACGGACGAATGTGAGGTGAAGAACATTGCTCAGTTCCTCTTCCGTGGTGAGATCACTCATGATCAGAGGCTGCAGATCCTGGATGCCGCTGTGGTGGAAGATCTGAACCGGGAAGGCCGCTTGACACGACGAAAAGGACTGGGCCAGACACGACGAAACTGGCATGCCACGTGGCATTGGGATTCTTGCAAGCGGTTCTGCAGGTCGATTTGACCAAAGCGCGGAGTCTTGTGGAAAGATGTGGAACATGAATTGGCAATGAATTTTGCAATAAATTACATATAAATATATATTATATGTACTATACTTCATTTGAGGGCTGCTGTGCTGAGCCCCTTTTAGGGAATGGATGTGCTTTGTTTGTCTATACAACAACTCGGAATCGAAGAAATCGCAACCGAAATCTGAAGAAAGTGAGTCATTTGAGATCCTCGCGTGGAACGCGAGGTTCTTTTCCGCGTTTTTGGGGTTCCTCCGTTGACGTGGATTGATCACGTCCGAGGCGATGAGGAAGGGATGTCCTTTGACATACCTTCCTCGTCCAACATCCCCAACCACACCAACGATGCCCGGCGAAGGTTGCCTTTTCTTTCTTCGTTCTGAACCACCGGCGCGGCGCGCGGAAGGGAAGGTGGAACGGTGTGAGCTACTGCGCTGGTGCACTGCTGCCATGAAAGGAGTCCAATTTATGGGGCTAATGCCACATGATGGGGGCGTATATGGCGTATATATATATATATATGAGTACCCGACAGAATTCTTGTAAGTCAGCAGTAATTAGTCTTCGGCTGGACATCGTTTTTTGAAAAAGTAATTTGACTGCCGATAAGGGCCCACCGAAAACCGATACCCTCCAACATGGGTGATGGCCCACTCAAAACCGATACCCCAAAGAGTTGTAGATGTATAAGAAAACCTGAGACCGATAGGGTACCACCAAAATACATGTAAAGAGACTGATAGTAGGGGCCCACCAAAATTATAAACGTCCTTTGCGGGTAATAAGTAATATTGTCCGTCATTCATATAGAGACATGTATAGGAGTGGCGTATATGTATTTTCGGGCGTATATAGGAGTGTATACCAAATTCAGGTATGTGTATATATATATATATATAAAGCCTTAAACATCCATATATACTTCTCTATACTTTTGAGACCCCGGAGATTCCAGCTGGTCTTCTGTCCCGGCTTTGGAAGCATTTCAATTGAAAGGTTTAAGAACGATTTTGGGGGATGGCTACCACGTTTATAAAGCGTGCCAATACCAACGCAGAAATGACCTTGAAGACTCGAAGGATTGCATTAGCTGGCAGAATTGCTTCGCCAAGGTAATGAACACCCCATTTGAGAATGGTAAGGTTCAATTACGACTTTGCCTCTCCTATCGAAGTTTTATTCAGACTTGTTGGCAGGCCAGCCAACAGTGGACCTACAATATCTTGACCTTGAGTTAGAACCATATCCGTCATAGCGAAGTTGACACTAATAGCTCTCGAGAACAGCTGGTTCAAATCCTCGAAGCACAAAGGGAGCAAGTTTGAAAGCCGCCTTTACCACCGCTCATACCTGGACTTTGAAACTGAATCGGCTCTCTAATTAGCACTTTTCCTATGTTATCCAGTTCCTGTACTGATGGGCATGAGGGGCGCCTGCGGGTGCGGCATTTATCTCTTTGACTTAGTTTCACACGTTTCTCTCACCCCCATACCTATAGCACGCAAGAAGAAGAAGAAGAAGAAGAAGAAGAAGAAGAAGAAGAAGAAGAAGAAGAAGAATCAGAAGAATAAGAAGAAGAAGAATCAGAAGAATAAGAAGAAGAATAAGAAGAGTCAGAAGAAGAATAGTAATAATAATAAGAAGAAAAATCAGAAGAAGAAGAATAATAAGAATAATCAGAAAAAGAAGAAGAAGAAACATAATAAGACGATGCGACTTTTTAGGTACAGGCCTTCGAGAAACAGTCAACTATATATGTTCCAGTCTTCTTCTAGCCGCCTAGCTCGTTCATTCTTGACATTCTGGCCTCGCTCCAGCCCAAAATCACATCATTTTCTTGAAGACGCACGTAATGAGGGCGGGCGACCTTTTTTTGCTTTGCATTTTTGCACTTGGATATTGGATGGTGCGCTGGTGCCTAGGATGCTGAAGACTTGACTTGAGAAGACAAGGCTCCGTGTGTACCCTCTGAAGAGTTCTGACTGTGGATTAGGAGCGGTTGCAAAAGACCCCGGCCCCAGGTGATTCATGACGTTCTTTCCTTTCTGTTCGGTGATTAGCTGGGCAGAGCCTTAGGATATAGCATTTTTCCGTTTGATGGTGTGTGATTGATGGATATGAATGCAGAAGATGCCACAGGGCTCAAGGTTGATAGCAAACCTGAAGAAGGCATCTTGCTATTTGCGCCATTAGTCGGTGGAGCCCATCTCACAAGGCTCAGCGCGATGTCTCGTTCTCGGTACTCGTTCCGAGCCGTTGGCTCTCCGAGGATGATTTGGAGATGGCGGAAGCCAGAGAGGCCTTGGAGTTGCTACCTGCCGCAGGGCTGCAGGTCGTTTGGACGTTTGCCGTGTGAAGTTCTTTAGGGTGAGCGGTAGAAGCTACACACTTGTTACTTGTTCCTGAGAACTCATAGGGCCAGTGTTTTCCAGTCGATGGCCTCCGTTTTTCAGTCGCTGGCCTCAAATTTCTTTCTGGAAATGTCTTAAGAAGTAGGACTAGGAGCAGCTGAGGAGCATAACCTCACACACACACAGATAAATAGATAGATAGATAGATAGATAGATATATATATATATATGTAGAAAGCTTATCGTTATGCGTCCTTCTTCACTTCAAGAGGTGGGCTGAAATGCCACTGGAACGTGGCAAGCGGCTTTGGTGGGGCCATGGACCAAGACATATAGAACGCCCCGGCATCCCAAGTGGTGTACGTGTATATATATATATCTATATTTGTGTGTGTACATGATATACAATATGCAAGTGAGTAGTTGTTGTACTACATGGGATCGACCTGGTGAGCAGCGACCTTCTCCGGCGCTCGGCCGGAGCTCATTGGAGCTCGGACGAGCCGTGTGGTGCCGAGCCGTGTGGTGCCGAGCGGTCCGCTGGTGCCGAAACGTGTGTCAGATATCATTGATGTCCTATCTCCTCAGCAAGCTCTTACAGGCTTAGAAAAAGCAACGGTTAAAGTAGGAAATTGCTAGATGAAGAGTTAGCTCAATTTGTATCTCGGGCAAACATATATATGCAAACATACTGTATATATATAATACAGACTCAATTGCTGTATGAGGTTGGCTGGCCGCCCGAACCAAGAGAAACACCAACGAAAACCAACAGTTGATCAATCTTTTTTAACTTGGTCTACCTCATTACCTTCTGAAGGTTTGTGTTTTCCTTGTTGGGGGCAACTCTTCTCAAGAAAAAACAAATCGAGACTAAGCAATTTGACCACGAAAACCTTTGTGAAGATTGAAGCAGCTCTCCTTTCCTTGTGGTGCGACAAAAAATTGAAACACATTTTGAGAGTATAGAAACAGTCAAGCAAGACATAGCGAACAGCTTGCGGGGAAGAATGTGGAGGGGAGAGGAAGAGTTAAATGACCATATCAGATTGTAAGCCAGTTGTATCAGCAATGAACGAGTTGAATAAGGGGAGCAAGAGCTTACCAATAGTCAACAAAAGGCAAAAAGGACACCGCCACTGCTTGAGTACAGGCCCACATGTATTATGCCCAGTTTCTGTGGCAATAGAGCAGGCATTGGGAAGTGCCTTCAGAGAATTATGCAGATGGAGAGCTTGAAGGCTACATCGCCACAAATGTGCAAACCAAAAACGCAGAAAACAATCAAACAACAAAAACCCAAACACCAAAACACAGACAAACAACATTGATTGAGATAAACGATCCCAATCCTGTGGTGGCATCATTTTGTCTGAAACTTTTGTAAATCCACTCCCTGGTCTGAACAACATTTAAGAAAGATGAGCTTAAAACCTAGGGTTTGGATGTATTTGGAGCAGAATTCACTGCAACACCACGTGTTTTTTTGGCTACATTTTTGGCACAAAAGTCATGTCCCAAGAGCACCTGCTCCTTTCTTTTTTTGGTGAGTGGCTTCTCAGGAGGACGTTTATGCCGTGCCTAGGCTGCAAAGGGGATGCAGAGCTCAAGGAGGAATGAGGACCTCCAAATCCTTTCGCAAAATGGGGGGGGCCCCCTCCAGTCCAGCGGGAGGAATCCAAGCTCAGGAGAATCGATGAAGCACGGATTTTTGGACCTTGATTTGAGTGGGACTCCCTGATTTGCACCTTTCCACTGCTTTTCGGACAGATTCTTTTCTTGATCCTGAGTGGAATCTCCAAAAGTCCATGGCCAGATGTTGAACGCATGACCGCTTGATTGGGAACAGCACTGGCCAACGGACTCTGAAACACATACTGCAATTGAACCACCTTGTGTGGCACATTGACCACTCCGAATTGTCTTGTTCGGGCCTGGCCTCGCAAAAAGACTTTTGTAGATTTGCTGACATGCTCTCATGTTCTTTGGTTCAAGCTGCTCAAGCTGAAGCTGTCAAAAAATTTCAATGGTGGAGCAACCCCACTCCCCTTTTCATGCTTTTCATACCGTGCATTTGTGCAGCCTCGTGGGTGCGCCCAGTGGGGTGCCGTTGGGGCTCCGTCGTCGGCCAATGACCTCTGAGACCAACGGCCAGGACTGCGGCCCTCAGCTTTTCCAAACGCACATGGGGCGACACAAGCAGATGGCAACAACATGCCTACTTGGTGGGCCACAAAGCTGGGACCAACATGTTGCACAGGATCATCATGCGGCGGGCTTTTGATATCCTAGGTCCTAGGCGGCATGGATAGTTGCAACTATGACGGCAGAGGTGGCACACTGACTGAACTGTCGCCCAAGCATCAGGATTGTCATTCGCATCCTGCAAGGATTCGTTACACCCATCATTCCTCACAGGTGACGACGTTCAAGGGCTGCGCGGTTTGACAGCCGGAGCAGGTGGCTTTCGTGGAGTCACCATCGGGGTGCAGAGGCAACCACAGTGTTGGGTGTAAACATTACAGACATGAACCCAGAGCGGGGGATTCCAGAGATGGCGAATCGTTGATGCCAACAAGGTCAGCAAGCCGGACATGATGGCTGTTCGCTTCGAGACGATCACTAGTAGCTCAACGAGCTTCAATTGCACGGTGCAGGAGCTTTGGAGCAGAAACATTTTGGAGTGCCAGGACGTTTCTGTGTACTGTACTTAGCAATGTGAATTTGTTTAGCAGTAGCAGGGCTGGACCTGACATATGCTTGGGGATTACGCCCTCCACAAGATATTTGGGAGCTTTGGCCGCCTTGTGGGCAAGGAGATCGTCCGCTTCATGTTTCGGGATGAGATTGCAGAGAAGCAGAGACAAGCGATCCTGGATGACGTAGTTAATGAAGACCTCAACCCTGGTGATGAAAATGGGCGTGCTTGTCACCAGTCTCCGAAGGCTCGGCCCAATTCTGTAAATGCGTTCAACCTCACGAATGATGACGAGGAAATGCTGGAGAGCAGAAGGTGTTCGCCACTAGTGAAGCCTCACATCTATGCTGAGATCTTGAAACTCAGGCTATAAGGAGCTTTCCGTGGAGCTTGGGTAGATACCGGGCCAACACCGAAAACCCGTGGCTTCTGCGCGCCCAAAAAAGGTGGCTTCGCGCCTGAAGAACCTCGCGCACCTTGGTGTTTCGAAGAGTTGAAAGAGATGTTTTAGTCCAACTTTTCGAACGGAGCCGCAGAACTGGGATCTCAGAGAAAATCTGGTCCCAGCCTGCTGAAAGTTGGAATGGCTTGTGCTACCTCGCAGCTTCCACTGGGTGCACGATGTGTAGTGTGGTAAATCGGAGGGCAGAGAAACATCATGAAACATCACTTGAATGATGACGAAGGGTTCGATTCTAAGCAAGCTGTCTTGAACTCGGAGGCAAAAGATTCACCCTTGCAGTCGGCTCATCTTTTCCCTCGTTCCCGATGTGGTTTGCCGCGATCCGGAGATGGGTCGGACCCGACCGTCGGGGCATCAAAGCGGTCGGAAGTCACCAAACACTGGACGCCAAATCCCATCGACGGAGAATGAAAAAACACAAGAGTGGGACCACCAAAAAGCAAGAGGACCAAATCTGAAAGCCAAACCGACGAACCCAAGCCCTAAAGAACCAAAGCCTAGGCAGCCAAGCCAAAGCCAAGCCAGCCAAGCCAGACCCCAAAGCTAAGTCAGCCAAACCAATCAAAACCATCCGAGCCCTATCAACGAAAACCTGCCAAATCTTGAATCAAGAGGTAACATGCAGCTTGAGGCGACTATTTGCCATCCGAATCCCGAATCACGAAGATGTAGCTTGAGGATGCGCGAGCTACAAAAGACCACATTCACCAATCGAAAGCACACATTGAAGAGACAACAAGGGCCTCCGACCAGGCGGAACATAACGCGACCAGGCTCAGAGGTCCACGGCCAAGGCGCTTCCAGCAAGGCTGAGTCTACAATACCTAGGCCGCGCGGGAAAACGCGGACAAATTACTGTATACTTCTGTCATAAGGCAAAATCGTAACAACAACACACAGCCCGAAAAAAAAGAGAAACCAAAAGGAATCCAAGTTGCTATAAGCCAGGTTGAACATCTGTATCGTATAGTCGATGGGAAAGCACCATGCATTTCTCGTACCACTCAAATGGACTCATCACAAGCAGTGGAGTGAGTTGCCGCAGGAAAGCCAACTCATTGAGAAGTCAGCATGGCGAAACGGTTCTATGCGCATCTGGGACGCGACACGTGAGGCACGAATGACCACCAACCCGGACCGAAAGTGAAGCATTCTGGAAGCCCGAACCCCACCAAAGGCACCCGAAAGTGCAGCACCCTGCGCCCTGTGACGCCAAAATGCATCCCAAAAAGTAGCGACTTGCCCGGCGCCGCGGCGTAACCCTAGACAAGCCAAAGCCAAGCCAGCCAAACCAACAAGAAGCTCAATAACCTAAAGCCAAACCAACCAAACCCATCCGAACCCTCTAAACGAAAACCTGCCGAATCTCGAACCAAGAGGTAACATGTAGCTTGAGGCGACTAATTACTTTCCATCCAAATCCTGGATGCACAAGCTACCAGAGACCACATTCACCAAAGGAAAGCAAATACTGAAGAGAAAACTAAGAGGTTATTCGGTTATTCTGGAGGAATCTCGCAATTGGATTCGGCCGACTCCCGATAGCAGCTCACATCCCGAATCCAATTTCGCAGGGGAAGTTCTCGAAAAATCGGCTCCCCGTGGATCCCATTGGGATGGTCCATGCCCCAGCCACCTGGAGAGCGCTTCTATTCCTGGGTCAGGAATTCCAGCACCTGCGGGCACAGCTGGGCTACTACTGATGCAGCCTCGCGAAAACGAGTCAAAAGGCTGTGTGCTGCAGCTGCGAAAGGGCGAAAGGAGAGAAAGGGACCACGCCATGGTAGTCAACAAAGACACGCCATCACTGTCAGACAGAGACCAGGAATCAGTACCTTCGCGGCACTCCTTCGCATGGTGCGCAACGCCCCATGCGCCTCCTGGCGGTGACATGACCGGTGACATGATCGAAGCGACGTTGGACGTCGCGACCGAAGCGTCGCGAGGTCCGGACCGGGTGGTGCCTCGAAGACCGAGGATGACCACGATGGGTCAATTGCATAGTGTGACTCAGACTCCTATTATTGATTGTAGTTGGGCATTGGATATGATTGTGACTACTATTGTACGCAGTGTGAGCCCATCTGTAGTCACCTTGGTGACGTCACACCACTTGGGGCGGTTGGGCGGGGAGGTCGACCTTCAGAATCCGCGACCGGTGCCAGGCTCTTCACGTCGCGAGCGGTGAAGGACTGCAGATGGTTTGGTCGAAAACGGCCCACCGATTTTTGATATTCAGCTATAGCCTATAGGGCCTATAGTAAAGTTTCAGCAGATGCGCGAAGAACTGGACGGACCTTCCTAACTTTGGTAGCAGCCCTCTATGGACTCTTGAACCTCCACGTGACTGGCGAAATCGCCCCACTGCCCCTGCCAGCTTTCCGCGGAGGCCGGCGAGGTCCTCATGGTGTCTCCACCTATCGCCGCGGCCCCGCAGAACGGGCCGCAGCTGGTGGCAGAGCTGCGGCGGAAGTGTGGCTTGGCTCTTGCCACGCGTTCGCCGGCGAGGGAGGGCGACGGCGGGACGGAGGCCAGAACAAGACCACGGCAAACAGGACCGACGACGCGCGTGATGGAAGATGGTTCGCACATGGTGCTGTAGTTGCCTCGATCCCATCGGTCGAGGCCTTCGGCGTAAAAACGACTCGTCCGGGGCGGATCCGACCCCTGCGGGCGAGGTGGCATCTCGGCACGCGCCCGGCGGCGCCTGGAGTGTCTGGCAGATGGAGGGACTGGAGGCAGGGTGGAGCTCGTGTGGGTCTCAAGAGCGGTCCCAAACGGTACGGGGGCGACTCAGGGGCGTCTCGGTGCTCGCCAGGCTCCAAATCGCCTGAAGAGGTCATGCAGGTGCCGAAGAAAGGGGGGGGGGTCTGGGCCAGACTGTTTGGTTAGTGAGTTCAATGCTAGTTTGTTTGGTAGGTAGGAAGGATTAGCTAGCTAGGTTAGGTGGTTGGGGTTGGCTGGTGTTATTTTTTGGCTTTTGGTCTGCTGGGTTAGGTTTGTTTGAGTGGGTTTGGGAATCAGTTCCCCCTTGATGGCCTGCAAGGACCTAACCACCATCATTACCGCAATTTTTGGTGTGTACTTGTCGCAGAATGTTCCGAAAAGACGCCACAAATCTACTAAAGAGCATTCTAGATTGGGTCCCTGAGATGCCCTGAGCAGCCTCTGCTAGGCCGCTAGGCTTAGCCTCAGCTGAGCTCCGAAGAAGACCCTCTTGGAAACCATCGCCCGCCCATTTCGGCCCTCTACGAACAGCTCCGTCGCTCACCAGGAGCTGTTCCTTCAGCCCGATGCGGCCGACCAGGCTGGGGGGACCACCGGCCCCCATCGGAGGGACCCATCGGAGTGGGGTCGAAGCACAAGACGATCCCCCGGGTTCTCCTTGTTCTACATCGTTAAAGATAGATCTTTCTCTTGGTACCTGTATTTCTTCTGTCTTTGTTTTCCTTTTTGGAGCTTTCTTTTGTTCTTTTCATTCCTATCTGAAGATGGCGCTGTTCAGCACCAGTGACCGATAGATCAAGGGTACGCGATGCGAAGTCCTTCTACATGCGTTGAGCATGTCACGCCCCGGGCATTCCGGTTCCGGGGAACCCGGCAGCTGAGTAGCCATCCAGCAGTCTCCAGCCATTTGCCTTGAGCTCACCTATAGTGGTTTTCAATCATATAGAAATATTATATAGATAGCGGCAGGGTTTCCAATAAGTGTTGAAAGTCATTGTTTTTTTCTATCTACATTTGGGGGTCTATTTCTTTCTTCCTTTGTAGGACACAAGAATCTATCTCGGTGGTGGGTGCCGTGGCTCCTGGCGGCCGTTCGAGGCGAAGGCCGAAGCTGAGAAAGCGACACCGGAGGGGGACTTGAAGCTGCAGGAGATCTTGAATCACAACGTCGCTGGCAGAGGAAACGCCGGGGAGGGATTCTGACATTCTGGAGTGGGTGGACACTTGGGAACATGGCATTTCATAGGGGGCCCCATGATTTCCTGATAGATCTTTTGGACCAGTGACTCCGGACAGGGTTCCGGGCACATCTGACAAGGATGTCAGGATTGTCGGAGGGTTCAAGGCTCAAGATACAAGCATGACCAGGGCAGATTCCACACAGGAGCGAAACTATAAAGCTGGTCTCCTGCCACACCTGTGACAGTTGTATGATTTTTTGTTTAAGTCCGCGGTTTCCGGTGGTCCACTGCTGGCAACATGGTGTTGGGTGATGTCCACGAAAAGAAACAACATACACATCGAAGATTCTGAGAAGAGCAGCAGCGGGACGAGCGGTTCCTCAGTTCTTCTATCCAAGGAGGATGACATTCCACATTCGTGCAAAGCCTTTGGAAGCCCCACGAAAAGAGAGATCCATTGACAGCAACACTGGACGTCACGTCCGCCCCAAAAGCTATCCACCGAGGTTTTTGTGGTGGATCATTCAGGCGGGTGCTGACCGTCTGACTGCCGTTCTGGTAGGTTCACCGAAACGACTGAGAAAGAATAAGCGGTGACAACGCACTTCTCTCATTACCCCGCCCGGCACAATGATCCCATGGAGCCTGAGAATTGACCGGTGCTTTTGACCATTTTCCTCAACCACCCGGTGGTTTGGAGGTTCTCATGTTCATCTGCAGTCAGCAGGGGAGTATCTCTTCGTCTTCTGTGTTGGGCTTGGCGGCTTGACCAATGTGCGGATGGACCACAGGGTACCTGCCAAAACCGGGGTGAAGTGTGTAGGGCCGCCCTAGGGAAGTGGTCGATGTGGCATCAGATATGGCCTATATGGTTCACTTTTCGTAACTTTCGTTCTTTTCTTTTCTTCACGTGGCCAGAGTCCGAGTGAAACCAATCTAAGGCTTGGCCCTTGGCCCCCTTTTTGTGGGGGGCAATGCCACGGACAGGGAGACGGCAGGTGTCGGTTCTGTCGTCTTCCGGCCTCGGTCTTGTCTAGGCGCTGCAGCTTTGTATGGCCTGCCCTCCATGCTCAACCACAGCCTCTGGACCAAAACAGTAAGCAGAGCCGTGAACGGCCTCTGCTTTGGTGGCAAGACTCGACGAGATTTGATTACAAGCGATCCACCCAAATCAACAGGGTAGAACAGGATACTTGAGTTTGCTGGGTAGATTGGTGTGCCTAGAATGGGTTTAAGTTTATGTTGCTTTTCCATGCCGTCCTACAGTAGCATATCTCTTCTTCGTGTTTCGCTTGCTTGGTGTCGCAAGCGCCACGAATTCAAGATTTACCACCAGCAGCAGACACAGAGCCTTCCATTTCACGATGAAGAAATGAACTCATCAACTTCTGCTTGGCAAGAACAATGTTTATGTATAAGTCTGTAAGACATGTAAGACTCTTGATGAATGACACCCCCCACACGAAAAGGTTTTCCAATCGAAATGGGGGCGGGTTAGTAATCAAGAGTCTACATGACCGTCTGATCGGCAGCGCACACGTCTTCTCCGCCCTCGCCCAGGTTGCGCCGTGA